TCACAACTCGCGGATTGCAACACGCGACAAACCGACCGCGGCTTTTCCTCCCCCAAACCAACCTCGGCATCTTCGCATCACCTCCGCCCGCGCCGCCAACTTAAACCACCCAACTTTCCGACCCCGGATTCCAGATTCCAGAACTATCCACTTACCAGCAATCACTGTTATTCAACATCCACTACCACCACCGCTACCTCCTTTATCCTTCCCACCAAACAATCAAACAACAATAACAAAGAAAACAAAAAGGCATAGCGATAGCGATAAGAGAAAGGGTTTATTAAAAATGTCCCAAACATTCACCCCCGCCGACGTATCCACCCACAACAATCCCGACAAGGGAATGTACATCATCATCGACAACAGCGTCTACGACGTCACCAAGTTCGTCGATGAGCATCCTGGTGGCGCGAAGATTCTGAAAAGAGTAGCGGGAAAGGATGCATCGAAACAGTTTTGGAAGGTGGGTGTTTCTTGAATCCCTTCTGTGTCTTTACTATCATGATTATTTTATGCACCTTATGTACCTAGCTCATCTGGCTATGCGGTTATCTTTCTATTGTTATTTTTCATATGGCGACTTTGTTTGATGGTATGGTGCATTATAGTGCTAACGACTTTGTCTTACTCTTCTTCTAGTATCACAATGAAGGCGTGCTGAAGAAGTATACGCCCAAGTTGAAGATTGGGGAGGTCAAGGAGGCGGCGAAGTTGTGAGATCTGAGGGGGTTTTGTCTATCTGTCTTGTTGAAATAGGGATCTTTGCTGTTGGAGAATTTAAATTCGGTCACCCATATACACTTTAGATGTCGCGATGCTGCTGCTGCTGCTGCTTGGAAAGGCGAGACTGATGGTTCAAACAGTCCCTAGACCGTCAATTACTAATAACATTAGACAATAAGCTAAATAGCTAACTACTATTCCCGCCAATATAACGAACGGAGCAAAGAGTGGTATCCATAACCGGCGAGCACTTGTCTCAAAGTGCCTGATAAATCCAAAATACAGATAACTATAGCAGCCACTTAAAATCATGTGGGCTTTAATATGCTTTCTAATTTGGGCCTGCCCTTTCAGAATTCCCCGAATGGATCATGCCGGAGGTTCCCGCGGCCCTCTGCGTAGGGCGAGTCCAGCTCTTGATTCGCGCTCCAGGCGCTCGACGCCTTTCGGCTGTGTCGCGCAGACCGCGGGCCTTTGTATCCGTTTGTTTGGTCAATGAACGCCTCCATGCGGACCGTGCCGATCGCGTCGAAAAAGTTGCCCGTCCGCACACTGGTTTCAGACGTGCGGCGACTGACGCTGGCCAGGCTGCCGTTGGCGTACGGCACTGCAGGGCCGTAGATGTCCGAGGAGCCGCGCGTCGACGCCACTGAGGGCACCGTACCCTGGCTCGAGAAGCTTCGGATGATGGGTATGCGGGGAGAAGTGTTGCTGCGCTTACGCGCATGATTCGAGAACCGTGGCACTGTCGGCGGGTCTGCAGCATCCATTGACTCGGCAGATTCTAATGCAGGCGGTAATTCAGGCACAGGCTCTGGGTGACTGAGAAGGGATCGTTTTCCCTTGGGCCGCGGGCGTGGGCGGCCCTTGGCGATTCGAATAGAGTCCCGGATTGGGTTACGGCGCAGAGTGGCCGCGTGGGTAGGTGATGCGAGTTCCTCCCGCGGGACTGGAGGTAGGGAATCTAGGTCATGGAGACCCATGGACGAGTGACTCAGGAACGACAGTGCAGTCAGCCAGACATAGTGCCGCTCAATGCTCGAGGCAGTGAATTTGAGGGCACGTTGAGGCGTTAAGATGAGAATCGACCGATTGAACTGGTTTTGAGGGTTGAAGCCTTTAGGTAGCGGATTGTCATCCTTGACGTCAAGGACGGATTGGATAATCACTAGTTTAGGGTCAGCATGGATACACCAAGGCCAAAATAAAATGAGAACAATGACTTACATTTCCTACCGCTCTTACCCAACAGGGCTGGCCCGCTGGTTGGTTGTTTGCTGCTCCACATGACTGCCCGCTCATACGGCGCCAGCCAGACCCATCGCTTGTGTCTTGCGCCGCTGTTGGTGATATTTGCAGATACCTCTTCCGCATTCCGCCCATCCCAATTGTCCTTCGGCTCGCCGACACCCCCAAACGACCTCCGTCTCCGAATGTACTTGTACATCCACTCCCCGACCATGGTCTGTGCAATCGCGTCAACAACGCTGGTGGGTTGGACAATGGTGGCCGTGGAGTCCTGCCGTCCGTGTGCAAAGGGGCGGGACGCTGTCGGCGGGCGAGTCGGGCCCCTTTGCACAGCTCGTTTAGCCGGAGGTGCAGTGACGTCGTCGTAGGGAAGGGGTGGATGCTGGGGACTGTCTGGCCCGCAGGACGATGAGGACATGGTTGGCGACGAGCGGCTCCCGGGACGATCATGCGGCTCTACATGCGACATGGCAGCCGCAGATCGAACTCGGCGCAAAGTCGGCCGCCGAACAATAGGCGGTCTCCCTCGGTCTGAGAAATTGCGAGGGTTGGACGGTGTTGGACTCTGCCGTCCGTCGCTCCCTCCAGGGAATTTTCTGGAACTGAACCGCATCGGCACAGGAATAGGAGGTGCAATGGCATGGGCACCATTACCACTCTCCATACTCGGCTCGCTGGGGCTCCGCTCGCGAGGTTTCTGATGCGCTGCTGCCCCGTTGGAGATTATGGCTGTTTTACGGATATCCTGCTGTCTTGCGCCGGAAGCTCCAAGGGCGAAACGCTGAGTCCACGAAGACGGTCCGACTACCTCCTTGGAGCCTCGGTCAATTGCTGATTCTGCCAAATCAGCTTCGGCTTCTCGCAGATGCTCGTCAATTTCCGGAAGAGGAGACTCGTCCAAGCTAGGACGTCCTTGGGTGGAGACAAGCTTGCCTCTCTTCAAAGTATACGACGCAAATGGCCGGTTCAAGAAATCATCGTCGGTGAAGACGTCCCTAGGCTGCGCAGAGGTTTCTTCATCGCTCGCTTGATCGAAACCAGCAAAGAGGCTACTCGATCGTAGAGGCCGCTTGTGTTCTGACTTGGATCCCTCCGAAAGCGGACCGTTGTCATTGTTTCCCGGGTAGGCTTGCACTGGCTCAGCTGCCTTGGTGCGTACAGATGCCTTGCTCTCCCGTTTCTTTGATCTCGGAGGAGGGGCATGGTACGGCTGAATAGGAGGATCCTGAGTATCTTCGCGCAGTGGGAGATCGGGTATCGCTGACGGGAGTAGACTGGCCGGTAACTTGACAGGCCTTTGGTCGATTCGAATCTCTTCCGTCTGGATACCAATGGTCCTACTGTCTATGCTCGGACTGAAATTGGCTTGGCAGGAAACGCTCTTGGTTTGAGGTGGGAGAACCACGCTCCCTCGGGGCGAAGGGGGCTCTGAGTGTGGTGGGTGTATTGCGATCATCGGGATATCAATTTCGGGCGACTCCATGTCGGTTGGCGACGCACTGACTCCCTTGTCATCCGTCTGTGTGACGGGTGTCTGCACCGTCTGTACTGACACAGACACCATCGGTGTCACCTCTGGGACTGGCTGCGGTGTCTCGTCCAGTTTAGGAGTCCATGGGGGAGTGGGAAGGTCTTCGACAGTTTGACAGGAAGCCGAAACCATATCGATTGTAAGCGCCGATGTGCCACTGTCGTTACCCTGATAGTGGTTGGTGATTTTGCTATCACGGCGCTCTGTAGTCTGCTCCACGGACGGTGGTTCCGGTTTTGATGGTGACACGGGCGATGGAGGAGGTGAATACTGGATGCCTGTGTCGCAGTACACAGAGGGTGTTGTGGACATTTTCAAAGGGCTACTGGGTTCCGAGCCCCCATCAGCCTTGAACCCATAGCCATCTGCACTGGTCAGAGAAAGACCGAGGATTTTTCTCGCCTTTGCGCCCATGCTCATTGTGCGAGAAAGCTGCGAGTGAACGGAAGCCGGCCGTTCTTCTGGAAGTGCCTCGGGCGACTCTGGTACAAAGTCGGCTTCAAAGGACTCGAACTCGTCTTCCTCGTCAAATGCCAGTTCTTGGGCCAAACTCAGCCCTTCGCTCTTAAGACCCTGAATGGTGGCTACACTCGCGACGGAATACCGCACGTTGTGATAGTCAGTCTCATCGATGCTGTCAGCACTCACACTTGTGATACTGGTCCGACGATGCCCTTGACTGCTTCTTGAGTCAACACTTGCAGAGTCGCTGTCTTTCCCAGCTTCTACTAACGTTGCGGTCTGATCACGCCTCGAGTCATCGGCATCCTGGGCTGAATGAAACGAGCCAGCTGCTTGAGCAGCGGCTACCTCGCTCAACACAACCTTCAGGCGTCCTTCCACCACGTGGACTTTTCGTTCCAAGTTCCTCCGTTCGCCTTCCCAAGCATCTTTGTCTCGGTTCCAAAGCTGTGCTGTTCTCTCTACCTCCTCTTCACGGCTTCGTGCCTTCTTCTGAGCTTGTTCGAGCTTCTTACGGACATCCGTAATGTTCTCCAGGGCTTCATCACGCTCTCGTGCTAGCTCAGTGAGGGCGGACGAAGAGCCACCTTCCAGCAGCTGCAACTGATGCTTGAGCGAACGAGACTCCTTAGTGAACTTGACCAGGCGCTCAGTAAGACCTTCGTTCTCCGTTCGTGATTCGTCTAGACTCCGTTCGAGTATATCAATTGCCTTTGCTTTACCCTCCACGTCTCGACGCAGAGAAAGGATTTCGGAGACAAGTGAGGCATGTAGTGTAGGTGTAAAGCGCCGCGGATCTAGTGGCGATAGGTTGTCCTCGTCAGCAGTGTCCTCATAGTCGCTGCGAGCATCAGGCGAGAAATTCAGAATTGGTAGAGAATTAGGCGAAGACGACAGGCCGGGGGAGGAATCTGCGCGAATATGTATTGAAGGAGGTCTTTGTGGTGTTGCAGATGGCGTCGGGAATGCCCTCGAAGCCGGAGGGCTTGTGTAGACGGTCTCGGTGGCCATTGTGTGTGTATGCCCAGAGTCGATGGATGTTCGACAGCTCAACGCAATCCCCCAATTGCAATAGAGCAATCAAAGATCGTAGTACCGCGTCATGCGCTTTCCATGAGCTTTACATATGCTGTGCTCCTCGACGTCCCCAGCAAGGACCAGCTCGACTGGTCGAGGTCTGATTGTGCCAGCCGTTCGCCGCCAAAATCTATTGAAGCGTCGTGGCTACTAATCTTCCTGGCGGAAAAGTGTAGACCTGATCAGCACATGGTGTCTGCTTGGAGCGCCAAGGAAACGCGGTTGGAAATAGGGCTGGAGACCAGAAAAGGCATGCGGAAACAAGGATGGTACTTACGATCAAATCAAAGTTCAAGACCTGCCACCTTCACAATGCACAGGCTGGCTCGAGCTTGATAGGCGCGTCAATGCGAGTGAGTGTGCTAGGGAAGAGAGGCCAGTGAGGGGGGCAAAGTATGAACTGAGTCAAGGTCTCTCTCGACGCGGGGATGGGGAGGGGGGCAAGGATGTATGAAGGTAAACAGGATTGGAGGGCGATCAAGAAAGCAGCGGCGTCGCGAAATCGGATCCCAAAATATTAGTTTTATTACCTGCCAGAGGCCGCGAAAGTCTAGACAAGAGATCTGAGGGGAAAGGGGAGATTGTTTGCCAGGCTACCCTTTAGTGAGTTGGAGCACACCGGGCTCAAGAGCTAAACTGGGCCTTGCACGAAAGAACCTTGTCCATGGGCCATACATCGGGCGGGGGACAGCTAGCGCAGTAAATGAGAGTGATAAAGGTAGGCCCATTCGACAGCGGAGTAATTGTCTGCCATAACCAGAGCAAACTAGCGCATTAGCTTCGTCCAGGGGTGTTCGTTAGGGGGAAGATGGGGGGAACCGAAGGCCAACTCCACGCACCCAATGACTAGTGAGGAGAGAAACCACCGAACGACCGACTCCACTAGAGCTTGCCACAGCTGGGCTCGAGGATCCCGATCCAATAGGCAAGTGATAGAGGATGTGTCTGACAGTGCGACGGATCGGCCGCCGCCATTGCAGATGAATGGCTGGTGACCAGCGGACTGGTAACAGCCAAACCCTCGTCGGTGGAAAAGCATAGCCAATGAAAGACAACAGCTGAGAAGGAAATAATGAAATGTAATAAAAATAACAAAGGGTAGTAGTACCTGTCTACAGTAGGAAAAGGGACTCGAGTCGAATCTGAAACAAGGCGACATGCATTGATCCTAGCACACCGCGGGAACAGGGGATGGCAAACGCGAAAGCGAGGGGGGGCAAAGAGAAAAAAAGAAGAAAAAAATTATAATAATACTAATAAATACAATCAAAAGGAGGATGGTAGGCTGAAGATCGTCCCGACGTACTTTGTACTTCTTGCGCAAATCCGATGAGAGTATCCGATGGGAGGGGGCAAGAAAATTCCAGCACGAAGTAGGAGAAAAAAAAATCCAATAAATAGAAATAAAATGGACATTAATACAGAGATAAGCCAATTAGACGAAAACGCAAAAGACCAAAAGACCAGGCTAAGGTAGACTAAAACGCGACCGAAGTCGACCAACACGGCCGGCACAAAGACTGCCGGGCGAAGGTCATTCAAAACAGCAGTTGAACTTGACGGCAGTTCGTGTCAATCACTAGTCGGGTCCACCGGTGGGCTCAAGGGGATCATCGCCTCTCCTCTATTTCGATCCTGCGCCTGTTGGTTGGTGAGATTGCCTTAAATATGACTTCTCTTCGAGGGCTAAGATATATTGGTAGCCTCGTTGCCATGTATCGGCTATACCGGGCCAGCGTCTTGATTGCGGATGTTGAATAGCCACCGGGATCAGTGAAGGCCAGCCTGCAGGGACTGATTCCAGCCGACGCGACATGGGTGTACTAGCCGTAGAAGAAAGTTTGTTGCATCTCCCCAATCGTATGATTGAAAGACGAGTGGGAAGCTTCAGGATACTATCTTGTTCAAAGCCACCAATGGATTTCCAACGAGCCCGTGCTCGATGTTTCAGAGTCCTTTCACCAGCCCCAGAAAAGGCTGCGCAACTTATATTTAGGAAAAAACCAACCCGTCACGTCCTGATGGAGTGCTTGTTACCCCCGATCTGCTATCAGACCCGGAGCGGACTCGGAGTTCCTTCATCAAGATGGTCGTCCCGGGAGTTGGTGGTTCAGTTGTCAAGGGCACCTAGTCCAACATTTGACATGTGAGAGGCGTTTAATTTCCGCGCTTTGTACTCCATACTACCTCTGTTCATTGATTCTTGAACCCAATACGAACCAGAAGGGGTGCACGAGAGGAACAGCCGGGAAGGATCCTTGGGTGCTTCCGTTCAGCTTAGCTCCCCACTTATCATTTCCACCGTTCCCTGGTTCAGGACCACCTTGGGAGACGGCCCGGCGCTCAACTTTTGGGTAGTGTCTCCAGTCCGGAAATTACATACTAGGGAGGCGGGGAGATTGGATGGATGACCCTTTGCAGGCGTCCTTGCTGTTGGCAGCCTCCGAGGGAAAACGTCTCCCCTCGTGATAACTTCTGCGTCGACGGACGGGATGAATACTAAATTCACCTTTCCTGTCATCAAATCATCACGGACCTCTCGGGTGGATACGTATTCATATCGAATTCATTTAATGGCTTGGCGACCATCACTGTTTGCCGGTCTGCGATCAATTTTCGCGCGCGGTCCGTGTGACGCAAGGCGATGATGTGCGTTAGATCATAATGGAATGGAGCAAAAAGGATTTGTCGCCAGCTAGATAGTAGACTATCTATCTAGTTATCAATCCGGTATTGCTCAGCCAAATCAGCATCCGACTTTCGTCCCTGGCTCAATTAAGAGAACGTGAGCAGTTACGTACCAAAGCCAATTGGCTTGCAGTCTAATCGGCCGTAGTCTGCGCCGGCTTCAAGCTTGGCGACCCACGCGGCAAGACGGACTGGATTTTGCGCCTTCCGGCCTTCGTCTCAGGGGTAAACCGGACCTGACAGGTCGGCCGTGCGTTACCTGAACGGCTGTGCAGGCTGCAGCTGAGAAGTAGACAGGGATCGTACTTAGACAGTTCATACTAGATCACAGTATGGAGTATACAATAATAAATATAACGCTAGTATTAATATCCTAGTGACTCGTTAATACCTCGCCGGAGGATATCCGCGGTTGGTCTGGACTGGTCCGGCTGGTGTCTCGGATGTCGTCGCGTCGCTCCAGAGAGCACCAGGATCAACTATCATGGTACTAACCACGCATCCCGAGAGAGGCGATCACATAGATAGTGTCTTCCTGGCTGAACTAGGGGACCAAAGAGACCTCCTTGGCGCAGCCGACGAGAGTCGTTACTCCGGTCTTAGACAGACCAAGATCCCGCCGTTTGAAGGATCATCGGGCTGCAGCTGTCATTATCCAGGAAAGGATAACCAAAAGACGCCCTGGTCAGCCAACGGTGAACGTTCAATGCAGGGCTAGCGATGCGCGGACCTTCAGTGAGACGTAACCCCGTACTTTCCTGCCTATTAACCTGAAGCAGCGATGGAAGGTGATAATGTGATAGATCCAGGGATCACCGCAGCTTGTGGGGTGGGGGAATCTCATGTAATATATTGTCTTTGCCTTTCCCGTCTCTGTACAATCGTGTTATATCAGCCAGTCGGGAGTCTAATCCGAACTCTGAGCGGCAAGTAACCAAAGTCTCGTCATTATTCGAGCACGGGACAGAGCGGATGGGGTAGAGAGCAGAGAAAGAATAGTTCATGTGAGAGATGAGAGGGAGAGGGTGAGAGAGAGCAAAGGTTGATCGTTTTGCATGCTTTGCATCGCCAGAACTCCTGGCTGATGTTTCTGCCGGTGCACGCTTTGTTCGCCTTCGCCATTCTTTCCCCTCATGATTCCATTATCGCTCGATTTCCTCTCTCCTCTCTCTTTGAGTGTGGGATTCATATATCTAGATAGGCTAGATGAATAACCAGAGCCCTGATATTACCAGCAGGTTGTTGCTTTGACCTGGTTGGCGCCTTTGGAAATCCCCTGCTACACTGTGCATATCTCACAGACCCGCGAAGTACCGCTATAGGGACGCATCGCCTCCGTACCCCTGTACACACACTGGCCAAGGTTCAAAGCTCTAAATTTACATCCCGACAGACAGGCACCTTCAGTGGCGTTGTGCAATACGGAACGCGGACAGTGACACCCGAACCTTGCATCAGCCAGATAGGTACGCCACACGAGTCAAATCTTACATCCCATCATGTCGATCAGCCCACTCCCAAAGGCACTATTCTTTGACGTCTTTGGCACCGTCGTGGAGTGGCGCTCCTGCGTTACTCAGGCCCTGATGAAAGCGGCTGAGAATGCTCTGCTCGATCCTGGGAAGCAGCTCCCAGCGGACGTCCGCGCACGGGTACAGGCCACGACCTCTGAGGACTGGCAGGCCATTGCGGAAGAATGGCGCGCGTCCTATGGCCGGTTTACGAAGAACTTTGATTCAACATCGACGTTCGTATCGGTGGATGAACATCATTACAGCTCTATTAAGCAGCTGCTCCACCAGAGAGGTCTCCACGACATACTCTCTGATGAAGAGCGATGGGACCTTGCACTCTGTTGGCATCGGCTCGAGCCTTGGTCGGACTCGGTCGAAGGCTTAGAGCTGTTGAACCGCCGGTTCCAGACTTGCACTCTGTCGAACGGCAATGTGTCTCTTCTAGAAGATCTTTTGAAGTATGGGTCATTGCCATTCATGAACGTGGCCAGCGCTGAGCACTTCGGAGCCTATAAGCCCGCCCTTCGAGCGTACCATGGAGCAGCCGAGCGGTTCGGCTTGGATCCCAGTGAGTGTGGTATGGTAGCAGCGCATTTGTACGATCTCAAAGCGGCAAAGAAAGCAGGCTTTATGACAATCTACGTCGAACGGCCCCAGGAGGAGAGCTTCACCGCTGAACAGATTGCCGAAGCCAAACAGGAGGGTTTTGTCGACCTGTGGCTCGAGCATGGCTACAGCGGTCTAATTGGGGTGGCTGAGCGACTTGGTATTCTGAAGGAAACCAGGCCGTAGGATTGAATTGTGTGTCTGGGCGCTTCTTTTGCACGTCATTTATCGAGCATAAGGTGGCGCAGAAGCATCTGCAGCACCCGATGAATCGTCTGGAGCATCCTTTTTGATGATGCGGTCCTTTCTGTCCTTAATTCCAGGCATTAGCATATCCTCCCAGCACGCTCGCTTTAGGAATGACGATAGCTCAATATTCGGTTAACTTCTCCAAGCTCCGCCCCGCATCATAAGATGGCATCATCGCGGCGATTTGTCAGCGCCCGGGCCTCAGGCTGTGTATAAGTAATTAAAAATTGACTGACAGCTTGGACTGTGAGACTGTAGGTAGTGCACTCATCTTCTGGTGCTACTCGACGTATCATTTATTTTGTCGACTTTGAATTGATTCAGTTATTAGCAATATGGCGGAACAGGTATAGATCATCTCTGCCTGAATTCGTCAAGAACATAGGTCAGCTAAGTTGTAACAGGAATCCAAAGTGCATGGCCATGCCGATGCAGACGGTCACTTCCGGCGCAAGGAGTCCGCCTTCCGCTCGACCGTATCTTCGGATCCTGATGCGGAATTTCCTGCTGAAAAGGACCGCTATGTCTTGTACCTGACCTACGGATGTCCGTGGGCGCATCGTACTAACCTGGTTCGATCTCTCAAGGGCCTAGAGGATATCATCCAGCTCGTGGTTTTGGACCCCGAGCTGGGGCCCGAAGGTTGGTTCTTTTCTGGCCGATGGGGGTCCGCTGAAAAAGATCCCTTGTATGGGTTCACAAAGTTGAGCCAATTCTATTTTAAGGCCGAGCCGGACTATGAAGGGCGCTATACCGTTCCGATGCTCTGGGATAAGAGAAAGGAAACGATCGTGAACAACGAGAGTGCCGAGATCATCAGAATGCTTTACACAGAGTTCGACCAACTTCTGCCGGAGGAGCTGCGTGAGGCCAACCGGCCTGGAGGGGGTTTCTACCCGGCACATCTGAGGTCAGAGATTGACGCAATGAATGAGTGGGTGTATCACAAGATTAACAATGGAGTGTACAAAACCGGATTCGCCACAACGCAGGAGGCTTATGACGCGAATGTGTATCCACTGTTCGAGGCCCTGGACCGCGTTGAGCAGCACCTGGCACATCCAGGCCATCAGCCATACCTGTTTGGGGAGAATATCACGGAGGCGGACATTCGACTGTACACAACCATTTGTCGGTTCGATGTAGCCTACTACCTGATCTTCCGCTGCAACCTCAAGATGATCCGGCATGATATCCGCTGATCGACCGTTGGTATCGACGGCTGTACCATGATGAAACGCAGCGTACCCGAGGCGGAGCATTCAAGAAGACCACCTTCTTTGGCATAGTACGTGAACCGTTATAGTCGGAAGGTGGCATTCGCTAACAATCTTGGGCAGTACAAATTCGGCTACCTGAAGGCGCTAGGGAAGCGATCGGGCAGCACTCAGACGATCATTCCGGCTGGTCCATTCCCGGACATCCTGCCCCTCGAGGCGTAGTGGATAGTAATGATCACCAGTGGCGTGTGGATAGATTTGCACGGATATCGGGCATCTCTGTTCGCATGAAATGAGTTGGGATGTTATCAACCTGGCATTGCTCGAAAAATGTGGGCTGAATGTGATCGTTGCGACGCACAGAGCATGTCCTGGTTCCCATTTTGCTCGTTCCTTCCTTAGCTTAGTGAGAATTGAGGACAGAATGCACGACTAGGCTTCCCATGACTGCTTCACGCAACAGCCACTCTGTCAATACCGGCGACCGTTAACCTAAGGACACTGGTCACTCAGTATGAGTAAAGGAGGTATGCGGTCACTTTGTAACTACCGGTCGGCTTATTAGACTTCAAGACCGTAATTAGACTTTGCTAGTCAGGACGGCGACGGCAGTCGAGGGGGGCAGATGAGGGACCATCTAACGAGGAGAGGCAATTGAAGCCGGGGAGACGTGTCTAACACAGAAAAGACCTCGCAGACTATCCGCATCTCCCGAGGCACGATGCCTGACTAGAGCATGGTCTACTTCCTAGACTGCCTTGGCAAAAGCTGTTCGGTCAAAATGCCCAATCCGGGTCTGGACAGGATTGCCAGGCACGAGGCTGTTTCAAAGATCGGTCGGGATGACTTCGAAGATCAGTTTCATCTGCTCGAAGACTACTATGCTCCCATTTTCGTTGTCGACATGCGAGATGATGATGGGATAATGAATGAGTGAAGGAAGGGGGAGGGTAGTGGGTGGCCTCGGCACATTCTTATCGTAGAACTCCCCGTCTTCGAGAAGTGGGTGGGAAGGAAGAAACCTAGAATGCGTCTAGAAGAAACTAGATATCCGCGACAATTTCCCTTCTCCTGCGGAGGTCCTTTCAGGGGGTTCGAACTATATTACTCGCTTGTATGGAGAAGTAGGATATGTGGCGGAATCCACTTCACCATCCAGAGGAGACGGATGGGGGATTTAGTGGGTTTGAATGAGACTCTGAACATGAGTTATGGTTCCTCGGGGAAATTCAGACAATAGAAAAAATAGTACACCTGTCGCTGACGGGGGAATGAAGGGAAACGACCAAGGCCGGCTGCTGGTAGATATTAGGAAGTGGAAGCTGTCAGGATGCACGGGGATCCAAAGCCATGTGCAAAGTGGGCAGGTTACCCAGTAAATAGTCGATACTAATCACTAGCCGGTAATTAGTGACCCAGGCAGGTGGGACGCCCTTTTCCTCCCCCCTCTCTCTTCCTCTTTTGCTGCTGCTGTCCGTCCCCCCCTGATCCGTTCGCATGCTTGGCCATGGATGTTGGAGTGTTTCTCTAGCAACCAGGTCCACCATAATCCCCCAAGCAGCAAGCTGCATGCGCCGGTTCAAATTCATGCATGATCGGTGGAAATCCAGATACTAGATGTATAGATAGATGCATGTCCTTCATGGGGTGCATGCAAGTCATGCAGCCGGTGGCTCTAGGCTGGCCGATGGGGAGGAAGGGAAGTAAAACGCACTGGCGGTCATACTAAGTATGTATGGTATTGCCGCTCTTGAAGTAGGGGTCCTCGGCCGGCTTCCTACACAATGACTACCACTGTTGGTGAGTTATTAAGCATTTCATGGGGGGAAGAGGTTGAGAAACAAAAAAAAAAAAAAAAAAAAAAACGTTAACTCAAGAATTACCCATTACTCATAGCTTTCCTGACTGGAGCAATTACGGAGCATGAATCTGACCTGTTCCGGACTAGCCGGCCGTCCATCCACCGTTGAAAAGACGTGCGAGTCAGTTTTGATTGTGATGGGACGAAGACTAAGCCGGTAGCGTCGGCTACGATTGAGAGACACACCAATGAAGGGAACGGGCATCCCGTCGGTGTCAGAATTTTCTTTGAGATTACCTATCATGAAGATGACGATGTCCGGCGATTCAGTGGAAATAAAGACCGATGGAACACTACTTCCCCGAGCAAGGTAGATTCTGGACCACGGGCCGCCGTCCAGTAGATACCACGCAGTACTAGTAGGTAGCAGTACTAGTAATCTAGTAGTCCCCGAGAGCTACTTTAGCCACCCACGTGGAAGGAAACGGGGCCGGGATATTACTCGCGATGCTATTTAAAATGATGGATGGCTTCAGAGTCCCAGGGGATAGGACACATCACGATGGGTTCGCGTTCCTGGTGGATTCGTCGTTGATTAATTCATATTAAATTAGGTGTCAACAACGGTTGGAAACCCCCGAGAAGGAAGGTGCATAACGGATAGATAGCACACAGTAAGCGGGCTTCTGCTTGTGAGGAAACAATAATGCCTAGTTGTGTGGTAGTGTGTGTGGTTATCCAGGGGATTCATTATTTTCTTGTTGGGTTTACAGTATGTCCCCCTCCGAACGGAAAAGCCCAACCCTGTCACACTCACGGTAAACCAAAACGGGTAACTAATGTGAGAATCAAGTACAGGCCAACAAGTTCTTCTCCAAAACATCGCGCCTATAATGTGGCTTGGCAAGAGTTCGTCTGCTCTCACTCCGGTCAACCGGATGTGTTTTTTTCTCTCCCTCACTCACCTTCACCTTGGCACTCTCGATGGGATGGCAGTGATCGAGGACTGACTGGGTGCGTCGCTGTAGGCAGTAAGTAAGCTGTAGCTCGAAGGAAGGGAACGGAGGTCCAACTTGCGCTATGGCCCGGCCCGATACTTGATCTGTACCTCCAACGATAGTAGAAGGTCACCCAACAGACACCTAGCAAGTACAGAATACGCTGTTAGCTATAATGTTTCATAACGTCTTCGATGTTTGAGAGGTCAGCGTTACTAGAGATTTGGGCCTTCAAGGTCAATGGCACATGCATTACTGTGCTACCTTGAACGGTTGATCTCTCCTAACCTATTTAGTCCTTCTCAAGGGGCGAACAAATCTAGCTCATGATCGGTGATCTCCTGCTTCCGATACATCTCCCTATGCTGCAAATGCAATAGGGGGAGGGATGATGTCTTCCCCTCTCCACTAGAATGTCTCTAGGGATTTCCCAACTTTCCCAACCTCAAACTTAGACTGACCGGAAGACGATTTGTCAAACGTCATATACCGCGGCGATGGAGACTTCTGTTCTACTGAGCTAGCCCCTTTTCGTTGTTCGAGAACTCTACTAGTCTTCTACCAAGTTGGGGATTATCTACCTATATTCACGAGCCTGTTACTGGTGAATATCAAGGTTAACTCCCCAATAGTGTGCAAATAATGACTAATGGAATACTTGTAACTCACTAGCAATGTCCGAGGTCGTTGAGTTTTCCATACCTCTTCTAGTTGGCATGCAATGACAGTACGCATCCAAGTACACTGGCTCTTGGGCAGATCTGTTGCACTTTTTCGAAATCCCGATAATCAGGAAGATTGATGTTAGTCCGGTTCCCCAGGGGAGAGAGGGGGGCGCGGAATGTTCTTTCCTTCTCCCCGTCGCACTTAAGTGGAACTTGCGACTCTTAGGGCATCGTCAACCGTGAAAATCCTCCTGCTACACGGGATGGATGGGTCTTCATGGGCCTACATCGGTCCATACAGACGAGTGGCTTGCTCCATAAGGCGTCATATCGAGCACTGCCTTTCTGGTCCCTTGGTAGAACTTCGGGCAGTTCACCTGGTGGCGCAAAAAGGTTCATTTCACCAGTAGACAATTTTACTCGCTTGTGCAAAACGTGAGCGAGTGTGGTATGGTTTGTCTTCTATCCATTGCGGGTAAAATGATGGCACCACATGCGCATTGGGTTGCTCTTTGCATCAGACGAATGACTGTTCCTGAATCCCTCCGTGATAGGGACACTCAGAGCTAATTATGTATTCATTCCTGACTCCTGATACAATCTGCAATCGGGACCAATACCATTTATTACCAGTTACCATGCCTGTTCTGACTTCTGTCTGTTGTGGGGAGCCAGCCTTGAACTTAGTGTTTCCATGCACCCACTTCGTGTCTACCCGAAACCATCTCAAGACTGAACCTCAATTTGAATGCAACTTCTGTCCTCTAGGAAGCGGACAAATGAATCCAGGTGGGACAGGGACCGATTATGATGTAAAGCACGAGGCGTCGCAGGCAGCAAGCTTTAAGCTTGCCGTTTGTTGGGAAGTTTCTGTGTAGATACTAGATAGACAAAACGCCGCATAGTAGTTCGTTCCTATGGGATTCTCAAGATTTCTTCCCAGTCATATACCCATGTCAGATAGTATGGTCTAGATTCTAGGTTGATCTCCGTATGGGCTGTCAAGTTCAAATTGGTTCCGAGAGCGCGTGGTCGGTACGGCAGCATGATCGGGACAGCAGAGGTTGGGTCAACTCCTTCAGTTCCCCAATCAAATTGGTCGAGAGTAATTTATTTGAGAATCTTCAACTCTACGCAGAACAAGAGTGGAAAAGAGAGAAATAGAGAGACAGAGAGAGAGAGAGAGAGAGAGAGAGAGAAGAGGGGGGTTTGTTGTGTACCTGAAAGTACCTGGTACCCACCAGGAGAACTTCCATACCAGGAAAAATGACCGTACCATACCATACCCTCCCACTTGTTTCCACAACCCCCCGTGGGTCTTGGTTGCAGCATTGTCCAGCTCCAAATTACTTACTTACCTTCCGATGGCACTCACTCACTCAACTGCCTTGAACTGCCCTTCTGTGACCTTTTTGACTCTCGTTCTCATCCACATCTTCCTCTTCCCCTCCTTCGGTCAGTTTACTTTACTTTACTTACTTCCACCCCCTCCTCCTCCTACTGCGACCTCCTCCCTTCTCTGATCTTCTCATTCCATCCATCTCGCCTACACCCTCAACTCATTCTTGCCTCTGCTTATTCTCTTCCCCCGTCACTTTTATGACCTTTCCTTCCAATCCCAACTCCATTCGTGTCCTGTCCAGTTAAATTGATTCTAGCAGAATCATTGATCCCGACCTGGCTCATCCATTGATTGATTTCCTCCTACTACTAAGTACTTACCTCTTGAAACCAAACCGCGGTTGTTGGTCTCCAGCAGGGATCATCGTCTCCGCTACTTCATTATCTATTCTCTCTGTATCCTAGTCATCCTTTTTTTACGCCCTTTCTTTTCTTTTTATTTATTTTTTTATTATATTTTATTCTTTCTCATTTTAATTTTCCCTTTCACCCTCTCCATACCATCCCCTCATCATCCTTCTATTATTTCTTTCTTTACTTCTTCTTAGAATCCTTTCAATCCTCTTTTTTTTCTCTCTTCCCCTCTCTCTATCTCTCTCTCTTTTCGAAATTCTTCAATTCCTCACTCTCTCGGGTACACCTCTCACTCTTCGGGACCTTAAAACTTGAACCATTCCCAAAACAACAACAATTGGGGGTTGCCCCTCTTCCGTCGAATCTTTTCCGGCCAAGCCTCTTTGGACCTCCCTTTAGGTCCTGCGCCTCTTCCCCTCCCCTCCCCCTCCACTCTCGTCAAACTCAGCATCGCAGAAAGAGTCTCCTTTTTCGCAGCCTGCGGATACTTTCTCAGTACATCCGCTGGTGGCGATCATTGTCTGCGTCTCGCCCCTCACGTGGCAGAACTACCTTGAGGCAAACCTTCCTGTGTTTGGAAGCTCGGGCAAGCCCCGTTCATCTTATTTTCTTACGTTCACGCGGAGTTCCGGGCCAGCTCACTAAAATTGAACTCCGCCCGCTTGTGCCATTCTGCAGCTGTGGGTGGCCGCTTATTTGAGAGTCCTCGAGCCAAATCAAGAGGTCCTCCTTCACCACATTCTCTTCCCACCTTTGGTTGCTTTTCCCCCTCCATTGCTTCAAAGGTCGCAGTAACGCGAATTCGGCGACTTCTTGATCGCTCTTCGTTACCACCTTTCCCCTACCTCCTCCCCTCTCTCTCTCTCTCTCTCTCTCTCTCCCTTCTCTCCCTAATTTCCAGCCTTCTCCCACTGCGTTCTAGGTACGTAATATTCCCCCCTCCTCCTTATCTCCTCTGGCTGCTCCTGTCGCTCCCGGTGTGGACTGGTGAGCTTGGACTGGGGGTCCAAAGGCAATGGATTCCGGTGGCTAACCGCACTACCCAAATAGCCGTCCTCTTTAGGACCCCAGCGTTTCGCGAATCGAAACGCTCCGTTCCCGCGTCCGTGCTTACCGTGGAGCCTTCATAGATCTCTTTGCTTTTCTTTTCTTTCCCTCTCTTCCTCTTTCCACTCCTGTGGTCTTCTCCCACACCGGTTGTTCCCCAGTGACACACCCAATTATCTCTCAACCTATCGCTCTACCTTTCTGGTAGAATAATCAATCGCCATGTCGGGGAAAATGACGTTGTATAAATTGGTGGTGCTAGGGGATGGTGGTGTCGGAAAAACAGCCCTCACAATTCAGGTTAGCCCTTCGCGTACCCGCCCGCACTGGTGTTCTGACAACTGATCTTTGGACCTTGGTCTTGCCCAACAGCTTTGTCTAAACCATTTCGTTGAGACCTACGATCCGACCATCGAAGACTCGTATCGTAAACAAGTCGTGATTGATCAACAGTCGTGCATGTTGGAAGTACTGGACACAGCAGGTCAAGAGGAATATACTGCGCTGAGAGACCAGTGGATCCGTGACGGCGAAGGGTTCGTTCTCGTCTACAGCATCACCTCGAGAGCTTCTTTCTCCCGCATACAGAAATTCTACAATCAGATCAAGATGGTCAAGGAATCGGCCAACTCCGGATCGCCCTCGGGGGCCAGTTACTTGGGATCCCCGATTCACACGCCTTCAGGCCCCCCGCTTCCGGTGCCGGTCATGTTGGTTGGCAACAAAAGCGACAAAGCCGTCGAGCGCGCGGTTTCAGCTCAGGAGGGGCAGGCGCTTGCCAAGGATCTCGGTTGCGAATTCGTCGAGGCCTCCGCGAAGAATTGCATCAATGTGGAGAAGGCATTTTACGACGTGGTCCGGATGTTGCGACAGCAGCGCCAGCAACAGCAAGGACGGTCTCAGGATAGACGAACGACCGGTTTGGGTGCCGGGCGTGATCCTGGTCCCGAGTATCCCAGATCATTCCGGCCCGACCGTACGGGAAGCCATCGCCGCCCGTTCAAGTGCACAATTCTGTGAATAGGTGGCTTTGCACGGCCCGTTCAGCTGGCTGATTGATTTCCTTCCCGGTTCCTAGATGCTGGCCCCTGCTGCTCCTGCTGCCGCAAGAACTGCACACCTATATTTTTTCGATCAGTCGGTGATCTGATTGTCTTTCCGTATTCTTATTTCTTCTCTCCTCCCCCCCATTTTACGTTTGCCCCTGGCCTCTCTATCTCATACTCTTGTTATATGGCCTCATGTGGGTCGGACCAGGGGCAGCATCTTCCCCACGTTCATACCGGCTGTCGACAATGCGCCGTCCAGCAGAATCTACGCAACGCGCAACTTTCGACCTATTTATTGTTTTCGTTGAAGTCTCGTTCTCTCGAACTCCATTCCTCGCAGATGCCCAACTCGAACAGATGCGAGGGCGAGCCAACGAATGTGCTTGATGCATGAACCATGCTTGTTTATTAATAGTATTATATGTGCCCGGGGGGTGAATTTTCTTTCGCGTCCATGGCAGGGTGTTTCGGCTACATTGGGGAATCTTATGTTTCAAGGGGCTGGGGATTCCGGAGCTGCTGGGACCATAGAACGATGCGCAATCTCTGTTCTTGTTTGCTTTGTTCCGTATTTTCTTTTTGATTTTGTTTGTTCGGCGCCCGTCGGCACAGCGCCCAGCCTTCTGCATATCTGGGTGGCGCATGAAGGGCCAGGAGGCAAGAGGGGCAGCTGGACGAGGCAGGCAATGGGGAGCGATGAGGGGCGGCGGTGGATGAAGGAGCGACTCGTGCGGTAGAGCGAGGATGGCAGTCGACCGTTTAGCAGGCATTGCGATATGATACCCTACGGCTGAGCTTTTGAGTTGTGAATTTCCGATGCATTTGGCATTACTACAAAAGAATCACAAAGATAAAAAAGTGAACCCTTGATAACCTAATATATTCTATTTCCGTCACCGGTGGATGTTGAGAGTAAATTCATCATAATGATTGGGTTCGCGTGCGGGGAAAGGCCCAAATAATGTACTTCTCTTTTGATGTGTTAACAACTATACTACTAGTAAGTACTACTGCCAGTCAGTCGGTCGGTCGGGTATTATTATATGATATATATATATATTTTTTTCCTTTTTTATTTTTTATTTTAGTTTCCTCCTTTTTTTTCTGGAATTGGTAAGCAGAGCAATAGCTAATTGAATATATATATTTGCGTGTGTGTGTATATCAGATCATTGTATATGTGTCTTTCAATCGTTGTATGATGTCTCTACTTCACAGTAGTCACCTCGAGTTGAAGCCAGCTGACTAGTAGTGTTGATATCCCAATGTAGGCATCGAGTTATTATTTTTCTTTTTCTTTGAATACGAATTATGATCCCATGAGGTCCTATTGACTAATGAGAGTTAACATCGCAAGAGTTCGGTTATCGCGTCTGATACTTTAGGATTCCGTACTAGTAGTACTAATCACTTTTCCCCTCCAGCTCACTGCACGATGTCTCATTCTTGAGGCTGGCTAACTCAACTGGTCACTAGCCCACATTGGAGTAGGTTTCATTACTAGTAGTAGTACTGTGGTGGTGGTAGTGGTGGTGAAAAAGAATCTCTCTTTCCATGAGTCTCCTTTTTCCTTACAGGCATTCACTCAAACTGTACACTCTTTTTGCTTTTCCCAGGGAATTAACTCTTAGGATGGTTTCTTCCCATAGTATTGATATCTCCCCATCTAGTAGCCTAGTTCCTAACTACTTGAAGTAGACTCAAATGGGTTATTCTTCTTGAGAAATGCGACCATGAGAGTCAATGATCTGCTGGAGTACTTCATGATAAAAAGTCCCCATAAAGCGGAGAAAGACGGTGGGTCTCTACAAAGGGAGTGACCACTTGGTTTGACTTGATTAACTTGGTTAAGGTGTCATCCCCACCTTTCCCCCTCATCTTCTCTCATTCTCTCTTCTCTTGTCTTGTCTTGTCTCCCTCACTTTCTCTGCTGCTTCCCCTCCTCCTCATCCTCATCCTCGGTGATCGACACTCCCCCCTCCCTCCGGCTGTCATCGGGGTTGTTGTCGGTCCCATGTTGTCTCTGTGCGGTCGCGCCGCCACGAACGCCACTCTGGTTGAAGACAAACCATGTCACTTAACAGCCACTTCGGCGGTGCGTCGCCCTAGTACAGACCAACCCAACCCCCGAAGCCTGCACGTTAAACGCCGGTGCTCATACTAACCCCCTTAGCCTCACGGCACATCAGCGCGGTTCCGGATAGCATGTCCAAGCCTCGACCCATCCGCGGAATGTGACAGGGACTAACCGCTGAGTATCTGCAAGAGGACCCTCATCCTCCCACCGGAAACGACACCGCTCTCTATTTCCTTCGCCATGTTGGCGTGGTGTGTTGCTGCAAGCCCATTTTTAATCTCTTCCGTCGACTTTGCATCCATTACTATTTGTCTATGTCCTATTTCTTCGACTGTTTAAGAAGGAGAACCCCCTCCCCCTTCTCTTTCAGCATCGTTTATCGATCCACGATGTCACTTCACCCGCAGCAGTTGGTCCACAACACCTCCCTGCGCGACCCAGAAGGCTTCTGGTCTCGCCAGGCCGAACAACTGCACTGGCACAAAAAACCATCGCGTGCCATCGACCAGCAATTGAAAACAACCCCCAGTGGCTCCAGCTATACTCATTGGAGCTGGTTCCCGGATGGGGAGATCTCGACGACCTACAACTGTGTCGATCGGCATGTCCATTCAGGCAAGGGAGATAATGTTGCTATCATCTGGGAGTCCCCGGTGACAGGAACGAAGGAGAAATATACCTATAAACAGCTATTGGACGAAGTCGAGGTTCTAGCAGGCGTGCTAAGAGAAGAAGGTGTGCGAAAGGGCGACGTGGTTATTATTTATAGTAAGACTTCATTTTGAATCATCTTCTTCTCCAACGTCAAATAAAGAAGAAGCTAATAATCGGAAGTGCCTATGATTCCTGCGGCACTTATTGCTGCTTTGGCAATTGCACGCCTGGGTGCTATTCATTCCGCAGTCTTTGGCGGGTTCGCAGCCAAGTCGCTCGCACAACGCATTGAAGCGGCCAAGCCACGCGTCCTCATGACAGCGTCGTGCGGTATCGAAGGCTCAAAAGGTCCCATCGCCTATCGACCGTTAGTTGAGGGTGCTATCGAGCTGAGCCACTTCAAGCCAGAGAAAGTGATCGTCTGGCAGAGGGATCAACTGCGGTGGAATAACCCCGATAAGTTGGCTGGACAACGTAACTGGCAACGACTGGTGAAAAGCGCACGCATGCGTGGCATAAGAGCCGAGCCGGTACCCGTGAAGAGCACGGATGGACTATATATCATCTATACTAGCGGTACGGCTCCGATCTTGAGTGTGGCCCTTGGGTAGAACTGACCCCGAGATCCAATTCCAGGCACTACGGGCTCGCCCAAAGGTGTGTTTCGAGAGGCCGGTGGACACGCAGTGGGACTCCAGCTGTCGATGAAACACCTATTTGATATACAAGGGCCCGGGGACGTCATCTTCTGCGCCTCTGACATTGGATGGGTGGTCGGTCATTCGTACATCTTGTATGGGCCACTCCTGGTTGGAGCAACGACAATCCTTTTCGAAGGAAAGCCGGTGGGGACACCGGACGCAGGCACCTTCTGGCGGATTATCGAGGAGCATAAGGCAAATGTGTTGTTCACGGCGCCCACGGCCATGCGGGCCATCCGCAAGGATGATCCCAACAATCGCTTCTTTGAAGAGGTGGCTCGGCGTGGCGGCCTCCAACATTTCCGCGCACTGTTTCTTGCGGGAGAAAGGAGCGAACCCAGTATTGTGCAAGCCTACCAAGAACTTCTGAGCCAATACGCTGCTCCCGGTGCAGTGGTTGTGGACAATTGGTGGTCGTCAGAATCAGGGTCTCCCATATCTGGGCTGGCACTTAGAAGCGCTGCGGCAATGGAGTCGTCCTCGCGTCAGAATGATGCAGTGAAGCCATTGACCGTTCGACCAGGATCAGCAGGTCTGCCCATGCCTGGATTTGACGTGCGCGTGGTCGACGACGAGGGAAAGGCACTGCCTCCGGGCACGATGGGGAACATTGTCTTAGGCATTCCTTTGGCGCCCACTGCATTTACCCGTCTCTTCAACGATGACGAGCGGTTCTACCGGAGTTATCTGCGTAGATTTAATGGACAGTGGATTGACACCGGAGACGCGGGGTTAATCGATAAAGACGGGTATATCCATATCATGGCTCGATCCGACGACATCATCAATGTCGCGGCGCATCGCTTCAGTACGGGTAAGTCTCAATGTCGCGTCACTGATCCTACATAGGAATACAGGCTAACACTTGTCTGAAGGCGCCATTGAGCAAGCAATCCTCTTGCACCCACAAATTGGCGAAGCCAGCGTGGTGGGCGTTCCGGACCCGCTGAAGGGACACCTCCCGTTTGCTTTCATTCAGCCACGAACCGCGACCGGGCCCATACCCGCGAAACCTACAGCAGAACTGTTTCAGGAGGTGAATGGGCTGGTGCGCGAGCAGATCGGGGCAATCGCGTCCCTAGGGGGCATGATACAAGGCCGGGGCATGATCCCCAAGACGCGCAGTGGGAAGACGCTGCGCCGAGTGCTGCGAGAGCTGGTGGAGCATGCAGTGCGCGGGGAGTACGAGGCGCCGGTGAATGTGCCGCCGACGGTGGAAGACGCCGACGTCGTGGATGAGGCACGACGACGGGTGCGTGAGTACTTTGATCGACAGGGACGGGCGAAGCTGTAATCGCTTGTTGGATGCAGTTGGATGCAGTTGGATGCAGTTGGAGCTGTACAGGTGACATTAAATGACATTTATCGTTGTACTTACCGAGTTGATTACCATTTGTGGGAAGTAACAGTGTTGATGATCGATGCGTATCGTATTCGTCAGTGCACGAATCAGAATTAGTATGTATCTATTGAATGGATATACGCAAGTATTTTAGGCAAACATTGTATGTATCTGTATCTGAAGCTGCTTCAGAGACGTGACTCAAAACATTAAAGTTATAGACAATAGAAAAACGAGGACATGAACAACCGGAAGCCAAGCAATGCAAAGCCGTAGATGAATATAAATAGAAGAAGAGAAAAAAAAAAGAACCATAGACGTCAGAAGATTCCAATAAGGTATAAAGCACACAATAAGTTATTTGTCAGTCGAGTCGTAAAAGAAATAAAGGTAAAAAGTATCGACACAAACAAAGGAAACCACCCATCCGATCATTTACCTCCACTGATTTGCTAGTATCCAGTAGATTCTCGCGTGGTATAGATAGAAGTCCCGAAAGTCAAGAGGGTCCTTCTATATGCCTCTATAGATCTGATTCTATGTCACACACACACTCAAGTCAACTCATTTACAGAAGGAAGGCGACGAGAGCGAAGACGGAGGCCAATCCGGCACCAGCACCAGCCGCGGCGCGGGTAGCGGCGCCAGTGAAGACAGGGGCGGAGGGAGTGGTGGCGGAGCCAGAGCCAGTGCCAGCAGCGGAGACACCCTCGGGGGAGGTAGCGGAGGAGCCGGAGCTAGAGCCGGAAGAGCTGGAGGAAGAACTGGCAGGGGCGGCGCTAGAGGCAGCGGGGGTGGCGCTGGAGGAAGCAACAAGCTTGGAGGAAGCGGGCTTGCTGCTGGGGATCAGAGGGCGAGAGGAGGGGTGGAAGCCGCTAGGGGTGGGGACCGGGGTGTAAGAGACGACCGGGGTGGTGGCGCCGATTCCAATGGCACCGGCTCCGCTGGGACCAGCGGAAGCACCGGCGGAACCAGCTCCGGAACCAGCGGCAGCACCGCTGGGGGAGGAGCCGGAGCCGGAGCCGGAGCCAGTGGCACCCTCGCTGGGGGAAGCGCCAGAGCCAGAGCCAGAGCCGGCAGCTTCACTGGGGGAGGGGCCAGAGCCAGAGCCAGAGCCAGGAGCCTCACTGGGGGAGGCACCGGTACCGACAGCAGCGGCGCCG